GTTGTCTGTTCACTGGCTTCAATCCTATTTCATGTTGCCCTTTCAGAGCAGATCACTTCTACTTTAGTTCCAGCCTTATTTTTCATTTTCTTAACTTGGATGAATATGATTGTTACTTACCCAGTGTGAATTTAAAAGCTTGTATATGTATTGTAAGTCACCATTGAGAAGGATGTATAAGGATGTCTACTGCACAAGTGATTATTATTACTTTTATTATTTATTTAAGCTTTTTTTAAAAAAAGTTTAAAAAGATATCCGAAGGGTATTGTTCAAAAACAAATTTGGTCAAGGGAAATTTAGCATTCCAAAGAGACAACAGGTTAATGCATGTTAAATGGATCTTGTTGACTAGTGGCTTCAGCTAACTGTAAAAATTATTCTTTGTTTTGTAAGTGATTAAGAGTTGTGAATTCCAAGAATTCTCTGTGGGAGGCTAATTAAATTCCACCTACAGTACAACAATTGAGGTTTGCTGGTACATTTTTCTACTCTTTGCCTTTTAGCAATGGTATGCAAATGTTAACCAAGAATAATTGATCCTGTAAGATGTAAGATGTTTGTGAAGTTAATAGCCCTTTCATGAGCAGTTGGACCACTGAACACATAGTGGAGAAATCTGGGATAGTGTGTTCAATTCCACTAGTTTTCAGCTGAGATCAGATTAAGCAGCACAGTAGTCTTTTGTATTCAATAATTCACATGCATTGTTCTTGCAAACCTCCGTTGCAATGTTTCTGAAAGGAGGAAAATACTCTTTTCAAGTCACAAAATATGAAGTGAAAACTATGGAGTGTTTAGAAGAGATTATTAAAATGTGATTTCCTGAAGACAGCAGGACAATTTTCTGGTGTGTGTTTTGGTAAAAACACAACATGGCCTGAAGGTCCACTCTTTAATAAATGCATCAAAACCAAATATATTAGCAAACATTTTTTGAAGAAGTTATATCTAAAAGAAACTCAATAGCAGGGGTCTTTAATCCTGATTGTGAATAGCTTCAATCTAGCTGTGTTTACAATTCACCTGAAATTTCTAAAGCCTGGGAATACTATTGACGAGTTAAGCAATTAACTTGTTTAATTAATAGGGATCTGGTCAATGAGGGCAGAATAGTATCAGGATTTTTTCTATCCAGATGTTCTCTGAAAAGCTTTTGTTCAATTGAACCAGTTAGTTTTAGGTCTTTAGAATTTTAGAATTACCTTATCTGATTGGTGGTTACCTATGCAATGTGCAAGACTCCAAGAATAAGAACAGGAATACAATGCTGGTGATGAATTACTCATCTTGTGTTCCTTTGTGCCATTATGAGAAGGTGAGAAGCTACCTACAAGCTGGTCTCCCTTCATGCATCTTTCAGAATTGAAATCACCTACAGTAATTGCTGTAGGAATTATAAGACTATATAATAGGTAACAAAAACAGTGCAGTATAATATATTCTCAGGTCATGCCTGCTCTCAAAGATGTGAACAAGAGTTTAAAAAAAACATGTGTCCTGAATATTGCAAGGGTTGTTAGTGAGATCTGTCTGAAGAAAGATATAAAACTCTCTTTGATATCTAGTACTGTAATCGTGTCATTAAGACTGTCTGTCTCCTTTGTTGTACCAAGTTCTTAATGTAAAGCTTGTAATATTCTTTCTGCCTACCTTCCCTCTCTCTACTTACCCTCTACACCCTTGACTTTAGGGCTTACTTCATTTATTCAGGAGACTTTACGTTTGGTATATTTCTGTTAGCAATCTGGGCTGGCAATTAAAAAAAAAAGTAATTTAGAAGAACAAAGTTGAACAACTGCCTGAAGGAGTTGGGAGAAAGGTGCTTCACGCAGACAGAATGGCTAGCCATGGGAGACGAAGGATTGTAATCAGCCAGCAACATAAATCTCCCAGTGTCCTCTCACGACCCACACCACAGCCTGCCTCACCTCCAGGTTCATGTCATCAGCTCTCTGGCTTTGAAGACACCGCTCTGCTGTCAGGGACAGTTAGAAATTAATTCAGATGCAAATTGAGTACAAAGTGGTCCTTTTTTTCCAGTTTTTAGTTTCCATTCAACAAAAATGTCATCGAAGGCGACATCACCTTGCAACAAAAGAAAACGGACGTTTCATTTGGTGTGGTTGTGCTTCAGCAGTCTGGGATGGGTCATTTTTCTTTGAACCTCACTGCACCATTAACATGACACCTTAATTGTGACCCTAAGGCACCTGCAGACAGTGGAAGAGGTCTCATGCTTGTAGCATTCCAGACGTGAACTGCCTGTCTGATTACTAGAGCTCCCTGCAGGTGTGCTACTGAGCCTCCCCTTTGTTCACGTTTGGCAAATTTCCTGGCCGTCCAGACTCAGCAGTGTCTTTGTGCGTCTCTGCGTCTGTGTCTTCCTGTTGTGTCTCTGTGCCGCGCCTGTGTGTTTATTCATCTGCGTTACTTTGTGTTTCCCCCTCTGGCTGTGCCTTGGCTGTTTTCGGCACTTCCAGGTGTTCAGAGGCAAATCGTCCACTGTGTGGAACGGACTGCAGGGATAGTAGAGGAACAGTACTGCGACCCAGCCACGCGCCCGGATGACAAGCAGGCCAGCTGTAACGAGGAGCTGTGCCCAGCCAGGTCAGTCTTCAAGTCGATTAAAATGCAGTAAACCCCACTGTAAGAAGCCGTCAGCAGATCATGAATAGTTAGAGGAAGGCTAACATTTAGCACCAGTAGGGTCTTTAAATTCTAATCCATGATGTCGAGCTTTTACATACGACAAGGGTTTCAGCTAACTGATTCAAGTATACCCCAAATTCAGACTCTTATACTGGGGAAACTGGAGGAGGCCAGTGCAAATCAGCTTAAAGCTAGTACCTTACTGATAGATTTTCTTCCAGTTTTCCTGCTGTGAAGGAATTCTGTTTAGAATTGGCATTTAGCCTGATTGTGATCGCTCCGAAATTCCTTTCATTTTTTCCATGTGCAGATGGTGGGCTGGAGAGTGGCAGAAGTGCTCGGCGAGCTGTGGAGATGAGGGGCTCATGAAGAGGACTGTGCTCTGTGTCCAGAGTGTAGGGGCGGATGAACAGCGAGCCCTGCAGCCGTCCGAGTGCGAGAACCTGACCAAGCCCGAGTCTGTGGCCCCCTGCAACACACAGCCCTGCCCTGCTGACTGGACTGTGGGCAACTGGTCAGAGGTGAGGAGGTCAGATTAGTCATGGGTCATCCTGAAAGCGTCCAGAATTAGTTAGGCAAACATTCTCAGCAAGCCACACCCTGGTAGAACAGCACAAGTGATGTAGTCTGTAATGCTTCGTGACCTTTTTCAACCCTGATTTTTCTTCTACTTCTTTGCATCATCATGTTTTCTGGCTGCCCTTATGTTCCAGAAGCTCTTGGATTAACTCAGCATTTGTCAGTGAATCACATACTTCTGGATCTGAACAATTGTTAGTCTTGTAAATGACAAAAAGACAAGAGCTCCCTTTCCAGAGAGCTGACCTATCATTCCTGTATGTCCCAAAGCTCTGTCAGCAACTTCTTAGTACATCATCAACATCATCTTTGTTAAAAGAAATCTGTAGCTTAAAACAATAATCACAATATTACAATATTCAACTTAATGTGTATTCTAGTACAGTGAAACTAGTACTTGAATATGTGTTCAGTCATTCTTTTTTTATCAGAATGCATAAGTGCTATTCTGTTTGCAGTGTTTTCAATACACAGATTGAATGAAATTTAGGTGAATAGTGTATGGAGATCAAGAAAAAAATGTAATTCATATAAATATAAAAAAATAAAGGTCAGTCTTCTAGTCATCTTCATTCCTGTGGGATACAGTGAGTAATCCCACAGGTTTCAGAGGTGTATATTTAAATATGGCAGGGCTCATTAACATCAATGTCCATGATGTTCTTCTGCAGTGCTCTGTGACATGTGGTGGGGGCAACAAGAGTCGTGATGTTATCTGCAGCAGAAACACAGGGGCCGACTGTGATCCCAAGAAGAAGCCTCCTTCAGAGACTCCCTGCAATGCACACAAATGCCCAAAGAAAATGGACATTTTTGGAACAGATTGGTCTGGAAGTGGGTCATCCAGCAAAGAGCTGTACAATGAAATTAATTCCATTCTGGACGGAAGTCTCCCACCTAAACCTGGGCAAGGAACTACCAAAGCACGCCCTCCAGAGTACGCTGACCTGAATAACATTATTGAAGATGATTTTTCTATACAGAATCACATAGACCAGACGGGTGAAGATTCTTTTAGCAAAAATGTGTTTGTTGATGATTTCTACTATGACTACAACTTCATCAACTTCCACGTTGACCTGTCTTATGGCCTGGGAATTGAGAAGGAAGATGACAAGGAGACTGAAACAGAAGAGAATATGGGAACAAACAGGGAAGGGGAAGGGCATGATCACAGCTCAGGCACAACAGATAATATTGACCAGAAATCTGCAAATGCAGAGTTACATACAGTCAGTCCGAAAGGACCAGAAGACCTGCATTCCACCATTCACCCACTAAACTGCACTGAAATTGAGCTAGACAGAAAAGAGGCTGATGAAATCAACCCAGAGATGTCTGAAAATGAAGGGGAGGAGGACGATAAATTCTATTCATTTAATTACTTGCTGCCAGATTCAAGTCCTACAAGGCAGACCTCAGTGACTGTGACTCCCAGCTTCTTAGACAGTGAGGAGGAGTCAAATGAAGGATCACCTACTGAAAGGCCTTCCTCTTCTCCTTTGACATACAGTCCTGATAAAGTCCACACTGAAAGCTTTTCACTTGGTGAACCAGAACTAGAAGACCACTTCTCATCCAGCTTGGTAAATTTCACTGCAAATACTGAAGCTGAAAATAATCGGAAGCACCAGAAAGATGGTGGAAAGAATAACGGGCATCCAATGGAGGACCTCTGGACAGAGGGCGACCTAAATGATTCCAGTGACGCTGGAAATCCTCATGGACTTACAGAAGACAGAATGGAAGATCAGAAGGTTTATACTGCTGATGAAAGAAATGGGACAAGTGATCGTGATTTTGGGAGCCATGAACAGGCTGTGACAAGCTTTCCTACAGAAAATGAAGAGGGAGGCACGCTTGACATTAATGAAAATCAGGAGAGCGTCTTAACTTCAGAAGAAATCCCAGATGCTCAGAAGATCCTTGATCAAACAGAAGGAGATTTACCTCCTCTTACCCCTCACCCATGGTTTTATCTCAAAACTGAGACACCCTTACCAACTGTACCAGACCAGTTTGATTTGATGTCAATCGTGGGGCATACTTCAACACAGTTTTTTAAAGAGCAGGATCCCGATCCAAATGATAAAACAGAAACACCTCTTTATAATGAAATGTCAAAGCAACCTGACATTAGTCCAGAAGCTGTGACTTCCCCACCATATGTTTACTCACAAACACTACCTTCTGCTCTGCCTGCTTCTTGGGATCCAGCCTTGGAAACCTCTGCTTCTCCTGAATGGGACAAGAAGGCATTACATCCCATAGTTCAGGAAGAAGATGCACACACTGTGTTAATTTCAACAGGAACCACTTCAGATGAAGCATCAACAGCTTCGCCAGATGTTCATCGTCCCTCTCCTGGTGTCACCAAAGTTCCTGATCAGATGCTGACCAGTCCCCCTTCTTCCACTGCTGTGTGGTCTGAGATCGATTCCAATGAAATTATAAATCCCTATTTGATGAGAAGCAGAATTACACAGCAGCCTGTCACCGATCACCCTGATAATGACAACTCAAGCCTTCCTGAGGAGTCCAGCAGACCTCTGGGACTGACCCAGTTTCTTTCCTCTCCCACACCAGCTCCTGACACAGCTGGCTTTTGGGTCGCTGGAAAATGGAGTGCGGTAAGTTGGAGATTCTTACGATTCAAAAAAGAAGTACTGTCTATTTTAAGTTTCTAGTGATATTAAAAAACAACGTTATTGGGGGCACATTATGTTTAAGCTATTAATTACATTTTAAAGTACAACATTTGAATTTGGTTATTGACGATTCGATATTCCAGTATTTGCAAAAGGGTCTTGGATGGCAGAAGAGCAGAATGGGGTGAAACGGAGCCGAAGGCTGTTAAACGAATTAGCAGCACAACAGACTAGGATTGTGAGACGAATATAGCTAGTTAGTGAGCCTCTCCATGCCACCTGCAAAAGTGCCCTCTACCCTGCGTCCGCAGCTCAATGTGCTCTTGTTTTTATACTGTAACAGGTGCTCCTGGTTCTGTGTCTGGAGGTGCCTTCACAAGCTCAATGACAAGTTTATTTGCTTGTTTATCTGAAGTTTATTGCCCGTTTCATTACACTGGGTGCTAATCATGAAGGCAGGAAGAGAAAGTGCAGACATCTGCAGGGCACAGAGGAGAGATTCATATTTATTTTAGTGGATTACTATACTGTATGTTGACTGTAGGAATGACTGTTGTTTTTTGTTGCTCACTTTTATTTTAGTTAACTTAAAGCCAATGCATTAGTACTTTAATTACCATATAATGGAGGCATATACTTTTGTCTTTAGCCATACATTTTATATACTATAGTACATCATGTGATGGTATAGTGGCAGACTTGCTTATACTGTAAGTGAATTTGGCTATTGGTGATAGTTCTCTGCACCAAACCCTGACGAATATCGAGAATCTGTTGTAGGTAAAAGAAATGCTGATAAAACACTAGAAAGAAATCCATCTAGTTCTTATACTACTATTTTCTATTACTATGGGTGTTTCAGTTAGTGCTTTCATTGTCAATGCAGAACTGCTTCTTCTTTCAACATCCACTTCTAACAGACCCCAGCTGCATCAGTGATCCTTGCTCTTAATCTTGGGAGAGTCACAACCGTGCACGTTTTAGAGGAGCTTAAGATCTACAATAGCTAAAGCTCCTAAAGCAGTGGAAGTTCAGACAGACTAAATCAATAATTAAGTGAACTGAAAATCACCAGACTCTTCAGGACTTGGAGTGAGATGCATCTGATTAAGATTAAATTTTTAACTCATGCATTTCCCTCTTGAAGTATGACCTCATTTGTAAAAGTACAGTGAAATCTGGTGTGCAGTCCCATCTCCCAGAGTTAGGACTGCCACGTAATCTATAAAAGTGTGCCTTGAAAGGATGCAGAAAATTAGTATTACATGCAGTAATTAGTGCTAAAATCTACCCAAGGCTTAAGATCCTGCCAAAGCAGTGCTAACCAGAGAGTCAAGGCAGCTCAGCAGCTGAATCCTCTTATCTCCACTTTGCTTTCTGATGTAATTTTAAATATTTGCATATTTAAGGGCTTTTCATTGTGGTGTGTGAATGATCGGTTTATCTCCAAGTCATGATATTGGGTATGTATTTACTGCAATTAAAGGATTAATTTAGTGATGCAGTTTGTATCTTAGCATTTCACAAAAACTACTGCTCTCTTTGGCACATTGCTCTTCTTCCGGCTGCATATTAGTCAAATTAGTGATCTCTAATGACAATTTTATATCTATTTTTTTATCGGTCCTTCCATAAAAGTTATTTTTTCATACGGTGTAATAAAACATGCTGATATTATTATTTTGTTGTCTGGAGCTTTATCCAAACGCAGCTTACATTTGTAGCCACTAACAGCTACAGCAGCAGTCTGAGTGAAGCACCTTGCTCCAATGTACAACATGAGTGCGCAGCCTGGGATGTGACTCCACAACTGTGACCAGTCCCCTGGACCTGACCGCTCCTCCACATTGTTACCCCTAGTAAAGCACTCTTTGGCATTTTGACAGTTTGATCCTGGCTACTTCTAAATCTTTAACACAGTCTTAGAAATGCGTAAAATATTTAGCATTCTCAGACGCCTATTACTGTTTCTCAGACAAGTAAGCTTAATGCAGTAAAAATATGCAAAATGTAATGAGCTGAGGACTTCATTGACCCTGGGGCAGAACTGGTGATCAGCAGGGCTTAGAGAGTTGGAGGGTGGACGGTGTCATCATGGACATTTGGAGAGCTGATGGTTTTAAAAATGAAGCTGGCTTGTTGATCTGAATTACTGTGTCTGTGTGCTCTGGCATGCATTTATATTTCATGAAGTGGATGCGACTTCAAAAGGTGATCAGTGAGAGTTCATCATGTTTAAAAGGCCATGAGCAGTGCCAGGGGTACAAAGAGCCAGGTCAGTCATGTGCGATGCTGTGCTGTTGTTGCAGTGCTCCACCAGCTGTGGGCTGGGGGCAGTCTGGAGGACAGTGACCTGCAGTACAGGCAGGGATGTGGACTGTGACATCACTGAGAGACCCCCCCCTGCGCGCCGCTGCTACCTGCGACCCTGTTCCGCCTGGCGGGTCACAGAATGGGGGAAGGTAAGGCACTCTTTGGATGTGGCCACCATTAGCCAATGCATTAGTACTTTAATTATCATATATAATGGAGACATACTTCTGTTTTGAGCCATACATACTGTATACTGTAGTACAATATGTAGTACAATTTGCTACCCAAGAACTGTACTGTACTTCAGGAAGGATGGCAGCAACCAAGCAACGTCTTGCCAACAAGCTACAAATACAGCTTTCTGTCTCTGTCTTGTTCGCATTCATCTTTTTGTATCTCCACCCCATCTGTACCTGTGTAGCTGCCCCTTGATTAACTCCTCTCTGAATGGATGTCCGGATATTTTCATCCTGGTGGCTAGCTTTTGGTCAAGTGGATTAAACCCAAACCTCTAAGCCTGACTTCTCAATAAACATCATCAATGTATTTGCTTATTGAGTGAATTATTCCCATGAATGAAGGGTTATTAGAGGTCTATGATTACATAGAAAGGGAAAAGGCAATGTGTAACAAGATAACTGAAATACCCACACATGCTTTCCACAGTTAAGGCTGGGTGTATCCTGCCTTGTATCTGTTGCTTGCCTGTGACCCTAAATTGAAGAAGCTAGAAGTTGGACGGATAGATATAAAACACTTTAATCTCCTCCAATATCAAACCAGACACATACAATCTAGGACTTTCATCCACATCCATTGAATTTCTGAGTGCTACACAGAACATGCCAAATTTCATGTGAATGTGCACAGATGTCTGTCTGTGAATGATTAGGTGCCATATCAAACTCCTGTGAATGAAGTGTTGCCCTGTATGTCCAGTGCTTGGTGAGTTATGCGCTGTGCACCCTTGCCTGGTTTTGCAGTGCTCCCAGAACTGCGGAGGCGGTGAGATGGTACGAGAGATCCAGTGCTTTGACACGCGGGACCGCCGGCCATTGCGTCCCTTCCACTGTCGCGCAGTTTCCCACAAGCCCCCAGCGCTTGGCGTCTGCAACGCCCAGAGCTGCCTGGACTGGTACACCTCCTCCTGGGGCGAGGTAGGCACCACGCCTGCTGCTGGAACAATAGGCGTGGCATATAACTTTTCAGAAATACACCCAGCAGCGAGAACCTCTGTTTTCAGGCAAGACAGAGTTTCTTGCTGTGTTTTTGAGCTCTAGTGGCTCGGCAGTGATACTCCTGCTTCCTGTTTCCTGCAGTGCTCGGAGCTGTGTGGCGGAGGAGAACAGCAGCGCTTTGTTACTTGCCCGGAAATGAGCAAGTGTGATGACTCCCTTCAGCCCAGCAATGTACAAAGCTGCAATACCCATCCCTGCACAAAGTGGGTCTTGGGTTCCTGGGGTCAGGTGAGAATGTTATATCTTCTAACATGGGCAGAAAGCTGTTAAGTTTCAGTTACATGTAGAACTAGGTAATTAAATGATTCTGTATAACTACTCTTTTCAGGTGAACTCAGTTGTACAATATTATGCTCACCCTACTTGAGTTGTAAGAGTACATTGTGGTAGTGCACTAATGAATGAAAATCTGCTCTTTGTTTTTAGAGCCTTTTTAAAATAGTCAGTTCCATACATACTGTATCTACCAACACTTAGCCATGAAAAAATAAATAAATAGACAAAGCAAAGAATCAGAGTGCTCTGATTTGTTGGTTATCTTATCAAAGAAATGCCATGATTTTCATTTAAAATGAGGGAATCGGAAATGGGTCTCTTGTTCTTTTTCTACTATAAAAACGATTGCATGATGAGTAAAGAAGGAAAATAGAAGTCAAAAACACAAATAAAAACCTAATCCTTTTTCATACACAAGCAAATCTCCTAGCTATTATATGACTCACCAACAATATAATACCTCCCCCACCTCATCTGAGCTTGCTGTCTGGAAGCCCTGTGATGCACAGTGTCACTTTAATCCAACAGCACATCAACATTCTGTCTTCCCTGGGAGCCTTTGTGTACCACATGCAATCAAACAAAGAACCAATGAGGGGGTTATAGATTCACAGGCAAGGTGGTAATGAGAGATTTTCGCTGCACGTGTCTGCTGAGGATGATTGATGCATGTGTTCATGTTCAGAAGGAAAGTTCAGGTAGATTTATTATCTATGTGTGCCATGTCATCATCCACAGTACGTGATTTATATTTCTTATATAGAGTACATGGGCAGCCTGGTAGTGCAGTTGCAATCACAAATTGAACTAAGTACAAAATCATGAACTTTGTGAAAGTACTGTAAGTCGCTATGTTGTCGAAGACCGCGGGTCTCACTGTGAGCGAGAGCGAGCGTTCCCATAATTTGTGCCGTGATGCATCCCTTCCTGCTTACTAGTCACTGTAATGACTAATGTAATGCGATGTACGAGTGAATTAAGTACAAGATGTGCAGCAGACATTTCACCTCAGAAGTTTTCCAACATGATCTGCATGCAGTGTTAACAAGTAAGTTCCATTTATGTGCAAAACCGCCTTGAAGTTGAGAACAATATTTCAATTGCATAAAGTGGTTATCCAACCAGACTGCTTGATTGCAATGTACTGTAATAAGGCCACAACACTTCACAGAACGTTTTGTTGCCTCATTCTGAATTGCAGAATATGGTCTATACTGTACCTGGAAATTTACATTTTACTGTTATTGTTGTTTGAAATGCACTCATCAGTGCTGATTCTCTCTATCCCCAAAATGTAAAAATAGCGCCGTGGTTCCCCATTAATGGCACCTAGTGGCAGGTCGGCTGTGAAGGCCATCGTTTTCTTTCCTACTCTGAGAGGGATTCAAAACGACCGCGGGAGACCTGTGCGATGAGGAGGGGGGGGGCAGTGACGCGCTGTAATGACATTAGTCATTACAGTGACTAGTGAGCAGGAAGGGCTGCATCACAGCACAAATTGTGGGAACGCTTGCTCTCGCTCACAGCTGGGCTCACTCTGCTCTGTCCCGACAGTGCTCGGCTTCGTGCGGGGGGGGGCTTCAGCGCCGGCTGGTGAAGTGTGTCAACACCAAGACGGGTCAAGAGGAGGAGGACCGGGCGCAGTGCGACCACGAGCCCTGGCCGGAGAACACGCAGGAATGCAACACCCAGGACTGCGAGAGCGTGCCGCCCAGTGAGTCCGCCTGCCCACACTGCTCTGCCGCGTCAACGCGCACAGTGGCTTGAGCTGAGGCGTCCCGCGCACCGATGTTTTAGAGAAAAGAATGCTTGTAGAGTTGGCAAAAATGCCATCATCTGCATTTTTTATGGAACTGCTGGAGCGCTACAGTACAATTCAAAAGGCTTGCAGAAGCTGAATGCCTTTAAAAAATGCTTTCAGGTCTCAGATGTATCTAATGTTAGAGCAGCGTTGTAACATTTAAGTGTGCACATGTTTTTTGAGGCCTCATGGCATGCTTTCAGTCTCGAGCAGTTTACTGCAGCCTTGTACTGGAGGTTTGTTTCTGATTCTAGTTTTCCTTGTGCACCTGATGGGATTACGTACCTCTAACCATTAAAGTAATCCTTTGTCTCTGTCTACATTCTGTATGTTGGATCCCTGCCATTTCCTCTCCGAACTCTGAGTCCACAGTCCTTCACCTCAGTCCTTGGTGACCTCTTAAATCTCTGAGCTTACATTTCTTTTGTGGGCAGCACCTGCTGTCCCAGAAGAAGGAGATTCTGGGCTGCTCAGATTTCATTATTCATGTCTTTCCTTTCACGGAGGCATTGTCTGGAAGCTTTATTAGGATTATTAAGAAAAAACGTACCATTTTAATACCAAACAATTAACTTTCATTACAAAACCATCTCTTCTTTAATAACATCACTTATCAGTTCATCATTTGTTTTATTTTTTCATTATTTGGTTTGATTTTAGACTCCGCTGAAGGATTTTTTTCATAGCTTACAGAACCTTGAAAGAGCAGACAAGGCTCAGGATTTAAATAATCAGCCGATTACACAATGTCTACCTCCATGCTGTGCTGAACAGTCTGATTTGCATAGTTAACCTCTTTTAATGAGCTGTGCGTTCTCAAAGCACTTTGCATAATGTGCACAATTACCATCAACATTGGACTTAATTTCCTTAAAGGACTTTCCTTCAGAATGTTAGATGCTTTTAAAAAGGATAGTTACTTGCGTTTTTTTATTCATCTGTAACTACATTTAAATTTGTTAATAGACAAAAAACTGTAATTTGGTTATTGGTTACATTCAAATAGTCGCGTCCATTGTAAATATCACAGTGGTAGAGTAAATAGAGGGCTCTACTGAATTCTACAGAAAAGTTCTCTTTACAATTTCTTTTAAATCAGCAGTGCAAGGTGTTAGTCATATTTAACAAGAGCTTTGGCTTTTTCCATGAATAGCTTAATATCTGGAAAGTGTGGAGCACCCTTTTTGCTTTTCATTTCTGAGGTCAATTTTAAACATTTTTGAGCCATTCTCAGTTATTAAGAATTAGAATATTTGGTTATTGCTAGGCACTGTTTTCTATTTCCTTTTCTGACAAGCGAGGCCTCTCCCATTGCAGTATTGGGATTTGTGCCATTTAGCTCTCTGTCTGAATCACATCTCATTCTCCCAAGAAAGGAAAAGAAAAAATTATGAAGTTCTGGCATTTGGGAATAGTTAATTAACAGGCACAAACCTGTGAAAATGTCAGACATCGTCTTTGTTGTCTGATTAGGGTCTGTTTAAAGGTAATGGAGAAAAGGATTTGGTCTGCAATGCTTCAGATGGAATTATTTTTCCCCAAGATGGGAAATTGTTCCCCAAGAACAGCAAGATTTTAATTCACTGAGGACTGTTTTGTAGTAGAGGGTATGATTTTTCAGGTCTCTGAAGAATTAATTAGAAACAATTTAACTGCAAAGACTAGGTGCTATATGCGCTCTGCTACCTGCTTGTTGATTTTATGAGTTCACTTTATTGGCCATATACAATTTCTTGTATTAGGAATTTTGTCTTTTCGCATACCCCAACTTGCTCTCCATGAGACACACAGACAGGGAGAGAAACTTGGGGTCAGAGCGCAGGGTCAGCCATATTATACGGCGCCCCTGGAGCAGTTGGGGTTAAGGGCCTTGCTCAGGGGCCTAACGGAGTAGGATTTCTCTGCCGGCTGCGGGATAGGAACCAGCAACCTTCCAATCACAGGCACAGATCCTTAGCCACAGACATTATCCTGTTGCCACTGCTCTTGTGCGGATGAAAGAATAGGAACTATTTCGAGTAAGCAAGGCGTGGTAAAGAAGAAAAACCAGGAAATTTTGCAGAGTAGAAATTTGTTGTGCTCTAGCTCGGGCATTTGAGATGCTTCACTGTTGCTGAGGAAGTTAAATGAGAGCAATGTGGGTCTATTAATAAATATTGCACATTATTTTTGGCAGCCATTCCCCTCTGCCCCCTCTTTGCCTTTCCCCTCCTTGTCAGGGAGTTGTTTTAGTATCTAATACTTCCCCCAGTGCTGCTTCTGTTTATAAAACAATTAACGGAAAGCAGGATTCTTGCTGCTCCGGTCTTCAATCTAATTGGATTCCAGAGGGCCTCTGTAAGGCATTTGTAATTCAGCTTTTCAGTGAGAGATTTTTATTGCCTTGGATTCTCAGCTAAATGAGAACTGAGCCCATCCAAGAAAGAGGGAATGTGGTGTTTTTAAGAACAGAAGAAACTGGGCAATAGCCAGAGGAGGAGGGGGGGGGGGGTTCTTCTTGACTAAACACATCATCCTTACTTGATAAATTGAGATGCAGTGCACCGACTCTATTTAAGGAGAAAACCACAAAAACGGCAGTGCCGTAAGCTCTGTCTGGCTTTCTTTTAAAAATCTGTCTCCAAAGGCAATTCACTGATGCTCTTCTGTGAGGAGGGTGTGAGGTGAGCGCCTACTTTGACTGGGGCAAAGCCAAGCTGCTGTTAAGGTTTGTTCGCCCCAATCTTTGGACTCCCTGCTGAAGGAGCTCTATTAGGTACAGTATAAATCATGGCCATGGAGCGCCCGAGGGCCAAGACAAACAAAGGAATCTGTGAACATGACACTCCAGCCTAGGCCCTGCAGTATGGGGGAAGACAGCCTGTCAGCACTAGTGCCTGGTTACACTGAGATCTGCAATAATGGAAAGGATAAACATGTGGGATTGGACGCGAGTTTGGTGTAGAGGCCCAGGGCAAGAAATTTAAGAGTTGAATCATCCGGCCGTTAAGACTTTTTTTTTACGTAGGGAAAACAAAACCGTTTCTTGGACACTTGGAGAAGAGCCACTTTATTTAGAGTTCCAGCAGTGGTGAATGGAAAAGAAGCAATAGGCAGCTAATAGCAGCAGTCTGGGATTCAGTGGATACCAGCTGTTGTCCAAAATACTATTCCAAAATACTATTCAGGCACAACACGGCCTCAGACAGAGTGGATTGTTTTGTTTTGTCAAGAGAATTGCAGCAGTTGGGCTACAGCAGGGTAATTGTTTGGTTACAAGATGAATGGTTTCAAAAAAAAAGAGAAATAAAGGGACACAACCTAAAGAAATTATAAAGAAAGCAGATGAAGGTTTATATGTTCTTCCCATTTGACACAGAAGCAGAAACGCGACAGGGTTGGCTTTGTTTCAGACTGCCAAAAGTCCCCATTGGATATTTGACCTAGTTTCAAGACTTAGGCTCTCTGCCTGTGTTAAGCACAATTGGAAAGATTTCTTTGCTGCCAGTCTTCTGTTTTTCAATCTGTGAGAGGTTGCAGAGGTTCGTGGAGAATAGAAGAGCTCTGATAGGACCAAATACAAGCTGTGGATTTCTGCACTTTACCTCTCCCTCCAGGTTGCTCTGTTGTCAGATTGTATTTCACATTAAATGTTCATTTCTTGTGTGTTTATAGTTAGGGTGTAAGTCTTTCAGGGGTTAGAATAGCGCAGTCAAATACAGTTTACAGAGAACTAGTACTGTATGTCTCATGTTAAGCATTACCTAAACAAAATAAGTGGAATATCATATTTATATCTTCTGCTGAAACATAAGGATGTCCTTGTGATTCAGAGGTGATACAGCCTGGGCTGACCCTGCTCTAAGCCAATAAATTCTAACCCTTGTACTGGAGGAATACTCTGCCTTCTGGTTCTTAATCACAAGTTAATTGATTACAACTTTCTGCTTGAGGCATAAATGTAGATTTACTTTCAACTCTTAAAAGGTCAAATGGAATATGAATTTCTCAGTTTCACGACACTCATCATGCAGGTGGGCTGCCTGAAATGTAACCTCTGCAGGAGGAATAATCTCATCGTCTGAGTGACTGATGCAGTGTCATTCCCACCTGGGTCTGTTCATCATCAACCAGTAAGAGTTATTTAACCAGGAATAAGCGCAAGCAAGTCAAGGAGAAGTTGTGTAAAATTCTATATGTTGAAGTTAACATAAACTGCATCTTTGAGGTACTGTAGGGCATTTTTGGGCAATCAGGATTGACCAAAGAAGCAGATCAATCAAGGCCTCAATTGGCACTGGAGATGTAGAGCTTGGCTAGAATGAAAACCAGCAGAGACAGCTGCTGATGTTCCTCCAGGACCAGGGTTGGGATCCATTGGTTTAGGCATTTCTGAGAATTATTTTGGCTTGGTTTTCATGTTTACCTACTTACTATCAATGACTCCAACTGCTAATCCTAAAATGTAAATGTTTTTTAGTATTCAGAACAATTCATGTCAGTTGTTGTATTCAGTATGACACTCTTACTTTTATGAAGTATATGCATATGTGGACATATATACAGTAAAGTACCTATAGAAAGTTTGCACCCCCTTGGACTTTTTCACATTTTATTGTATTACATCATGGAACCTTGATAAAAAAGAGTGGGGAAGCTCCCAGAGACGGGTATAATTCTTCTGAAATCATGTGAAACGCCTTAATTGCGCACAGGTGGACTCCAGTCAAGTAATTATGAAACTTGGAGAAGAGAGTTGGTTAGTTCAGAGGTAATTTAGGTGTGTCAAAGCAAAGGGGTGAATACTTATGCATTCAATTAATTCTGTTTTTTATTTTTAATTAAATGTCTGGATTTTATTTTCACTTTGATGTTATAGAGTACTTTGTGTTGATAACTGGCAAAATCTACATCACAGTTCCATGCTGTTACAC